TGCGAGTCGATGTACGACTTGCAACTAGGGGCCACAACAAAACACACACCCCCTAGTTGCGAGTCGTTGGTTGGCTTGCAACTAGGGGACCTCGACAAACACGCACAGACACCGCCCCCTAGTTGCGAGTCGATGGTCGGCTTGCAACTAGGGACCATCGACAAATACACACACATCCTTAGTTATGAGTCGAGGGTCGACATGCGGCTAGGGACCCTCGACAAAACACAACCCTAGTTGCGAGTCGATTGTTGACATGCAACTGTGGACCCTCGACAAAACACACACACCCTCCTAGTTGCGAGTCAATGGTCGGCTTGCAACTAGGGGCCACGACAAAACACACACACACACCCTAGTTGCGAGTCGCTGGTCAGCTTGCAACTAGGGGCCGTTGATAAACACACACAGACACCGCCCCAATTGCGCGTCGATGGTTGACATGCAACTAGGGGTCCTCGACAAACAAACACACACACACCTCTAGTTGTGAGTCGATGGTCGGCATGCAACTGGGGAACCTCAACAAACACACACTCCCCTCGTTGCGAGTCGGTGGTTGACATGCAACTAGGTTCCACAATTAAACACACACTCCCCTAGTTGCAAGTCGATGGTTGGCTTGTGCTACCTCTTGAGCACTGCGTTGGATTTCCCCGAAGAGGAGAGGATGATGCAGCAAAGTAGCGTAAGTATTTCCCTCAGTTTTTGAGAACCAAGGTATCAATCCAGTAGGAGGCTACGCTCGAGTCCCTTGTACCTACACAAAAACAATAGCTCAACGCAACCAACGCGCTTAGGGATTGTCAATCCCTTCACGGTCACTTACGAAAGTGAGATCTGATAGAGATGATAAATAATATTTTTGGTATTTTTGGTATAGAGATGCAAAGTAAAAAGTAAAAGGCAAAGTAAAAGCAAAGCAATAATAAAGTGATGGAGATTGATATGATGAGAAAGAGACCCGGGGGCCATAGGTGGGTGAACAAATTACTGTTGAGCAATTGACAGAATTGAGCATAGTTATGAGAATATCTAGGTATGATCATGTATATAGGCATCACGTCCGAGACAAGTAGACCGAAATGATTCTGCATCTACTACTATTACTCCACTCATCGACCGCTATCCAGCATGCATCTAGAGTATTAAGTTAAAAACAGAGTAACGCCTTAAGTAAGATGACATGATGCAGAGGGATAGTTTCATGCAATATGATAAAAAAACCCATCTTGTTATCCTCGATGGCAACAATACAATACGTGCCTTGCTGCCCCTTCTGTCACTGGGAAAGGAAACCGCAAGATCGGACCCAAAGCTAAGCACTTCTCCCATGGCAAGAACAACCAATCTAGTAGGCCAAACCAAACTAATAATTTGAAGAGACTTGCAAAGATAACCAATCATACATAAAAGAATTCAGAGAAGATTCAAATATTATTCATAGATAAATTGTATCATAAACCCACAATTCATCGGTCTCAACAAACACACCGCAAAAACAAGATTACATCGAATAGATCTCCACAAGAGAGGGGGAGAACATTGTATTGAGATCCAAAAAGAGAGAAGAAGCCATCTAGCTACTAGCTATGGACCCGTAGGTCTGAAGTAAACTACTCACACTTCATCGGA